GGGGGGGGCGGGCAGGCTGGTGGCTCCTCCTCGCCTTTTCCTTTTTCTCTCCTCAGCAAAGTTAGAAGTCAAAAGCAAGCGCACACCTCGCCGTCCCCTGCTCAGCACCCGACGACGGGAACGCCCCGTCTTCTCGGAGTCTGGGTCTCGGAGGCTGAAGGAGGAGGGCAGGGGAGACGTGGGGCGCCGCCCCTCGAGAACGCCTGGCCCTCCGACGCCGGCCAAAGCGGAAGCTGAAGCCGCCTTTCTTCCTGCTGTAGCCACTGAGCTCCTCGGCCAGGCTCCCCAACGGGCCACCTGCCTTCTCGCCCGCGGCCTCACTGCCGTCCTGCCTGGCGAGGCGGAGGCCAGCCTGCCCCCCACCGGAGGCTGGCAGCCCCTCGGCCCTGGCAAGCGGGGCCTGTGCGTGCGGTGCTCTTGGCCACCTGGAGGGCCCCCACACAAAGTGGGGTCTGGACCCCTGGGCCAGGTGGGCCCAGCTCATACCGGCTGCGATGGCACCCCCCGTGTCTGTGGGCTCCCTCGTGTCCAGCAGAGGGAAACAGGCTCCCAGCGGCAGCAGGAGGAGGAAGGGCACGGAGAGACGGCTCCCCACCTGACCAGAGGAGAGAGGGAGAGGGTCACGGCCGTGCTGTGGCCACACTCAACAGTCCATCAGCGGACTCCCAAGGCCTGGGTGACCATCCAAGGGTGGTCATTACCCAGCTGGGCGGCCCACCTGAGCCCAGCTTCCAAGCAGCCTTGGGGACCAGGCCTTTCTTTTCTTAGCAGGCTCAGGAGTTGACTGTACCAATTAGGCTGGTTCTCACTCTCCCGCGGTCCCTGCCACACAACCGCCGCAGCAGCTTAGCGCTGTCACACTCAGGCTCTGAAAGGCTCAGAGCAGTGCCCAGGCAGCCCCGGGAGGGCTGCGGGAATTTGGATTCATTTCCTTTCATTATAATCATTGACTCTCGGGCCCTATCATCTCAGAGCCACGGGGTAGGAAGTGAGAAGTGTCAGTCTCTCTGTCTCCACTTGACAGCGAGTGGGGCTGGTAAGCTGGTTCCCGTTTCCTCTGCTGCTGGCTCTAGCGCAGGAACAGGTGGCTCCTGAGAGCAGGAAATTGTGGCCCTGCCCTAACTCAGACACTCACCTGGGGGGAGCAGGTGACCTGACCGATCCTCCACACGCACAGTGGACATGCGGGGCCTGAGCTACAAGCCTTCCCTGCAGGACTACGCTGCTGCTTCAGGGTCAACTGTCACCAGTGTCATTCCCACTTTTTCAGGCAGGAAATCACCAGAAAGGAAGAAAGATCATGCCAGGTGCGGGGCCAGAAGGTGGCGTCTCTGAATGCCTGGTTCTCGTGGCTGGGATGGTTTCTTGGGGTGCCAGGCCCCTCTGAGATCAGGGGTGTCATCCCATCAGCTCAGATGGGCCACGTGAGCGTCCAGGGTCCCACGGCTTCTAACTGTGCTGGACCCAAGTGTGGCCCACCCTGACCTGCTGCTGTCCCCCATGTGTGACTGTCTAAAACAGAGACCTCCCGGGACGCGTCTGCCTTGACACTAAGCCGCTCTCTTCGCCCAGAGGAGACTTTTTGGTAGTGACCGAGGGTGAGCAGAGCTGGCTCGTCCTCTGAGTAGTGGCTCTGAAGCTGGAAGAGAGAGCACCCGCTTTGGAGAAGAGCTCCTTCCAGAAACTCCCAGGGCTCTCCCCAGAAACGGCTCCTTGAAAACATTTCACAGTGAGCTCAGCCAGAAGCTTCAAAGAATCGTCAAAGCAAACTCGCTCCCTGCCCAAAGCAGGTTCTCCTGGGCTCCCTCCCCCCGGGGCTGCCAGGGCAGCCCCCCACAGGAGCTGGCTGTACCAGTCAGGCTGGCTCTCACTCTCCCGTCCGGGCCTGGTGGCGTGGGCAGTTTTCTGCAGGGGACAGGCCCACACTGCCCATGCTCCTGGTAGAAAGAATGTGGCCCGGAGCAGCCCCTCCTGTGGAGGGGTATACCTGGGGTGCCCTCCAGGCCTCGGGAAAGGGCACATCTCGACGTGGAGCTGAATGTGGCCACTCTCCCCTTTTGGGGAGTCAAGACCCCTTTAAGAACCTGGGAGAAACTGGGGAGCCTCACCACGGAGCACAGGGAGGCTCTCCATTCCCAGCGCCCGGGAAGTGGCAGGAAGAATACTGTGGAAGAAGGGCCTGGCCCTGGCAGAGCGGCTGCGGCAGGACCAGGTCAGGTCTCCCCAGTGCTGGGCCTTTCCCGTGCCCTGGTTCCGGGTGCCCACTGCTGCCCGCCCATGCCCAGCTCCTGCCCTGAGGGCCTTCCCACAGCTCCTGCCGGGACAGGGCTGTACTCACCATGCCGCCGGCTACTCCCGGGAGGGGCGTCCCTGCCTGGCACTGGGCTTGGCGGAGCTCCTTGGGGTCCCTGTCTGGGAGGCCAGCTTTATAGGCCCCCAGGCGTCCCCCCTCCATGCTGCCTGATTGCCGCGCATTCCTGACCCTGGGATTCCTTTGGGAGCACTGGTGGTGAAGGAGGGGGCCGTGCTGCCACACAATGCAGGCCCAGCGCGACAGGATGTGGCCTGATGAGCGGGGCGGATGCTGCCCTTTGGAGCAGAGTGGCCACATCATTAGCTGCCCATCGTGGGCACCACCACCAGCCCTCAAGTCCTCAGGCTGCAGCTCCGGGGCCACTCTTAATAATCCAACGCACACGTCTCTGTGGGCCAGCCTCGCTCTCCGAGGAGATGGGGTGAGGGGATGGCCACCCCCCACACTCCCGCCGGCTGCTCTAGTAGGAAGTCACACACCATGAAGCCAGCGATGGCCTAGGCCGTTCCCCTCTCCCAGGAAGGCGAGAGGTGCTGCGCCTCACCTGCCTGCGCCCGAGGCCAGGCTGGCAGTGGGCGCTCTGCTGTGGGGCCAGCTGGGCCCTCTCCAGCCCATGGCCGGCCCCACAGTCGCTGTCCCTTAATGGCACGCTCTGGCTCTCCCCCCTCGCGCTCCCCTACCGGGCCCAGAGTGATACATTGTTTTCAAATTCTGCTGACTGTCCCACTGGGTGGCCGTGGCCCTCTCGTCCCCCTGAGATCACCCTCTGAGAGTGATCCCTTCCACCTCTGGGCCACAGCCAGGGGACCCCAAGGCCAGGCTATAAGAGAGTGTGGACAGTGGCAAGGGCGCCGTGTGGGTCATGTGGTCATCGACTCCTGCTCCTTCCCCACTGGTGCCCACAGTGGGGACACAGCCTCTGTCACTCCCAGCCTCCTGCCATCAGATGGCTTCTCCCCTGTGGCTCATGGGCAGGGTGTGCTTCCACCTGCTTCCCAGGGCCACCATCCACGTGGGGCACAGGCAACTGTGGGGAGCCACTGAGTGACCCCGTCTTCCATCCTGAAGCGAGAGGCTCTGACCTATCACCACATTTCATGGTGACTTGGGCATCGTCCCAGCTCAGGAAGCTGAGGGCCTGTCTTCAGGTGTAGGCGCGTCACCCATGGAATGGAGCTACACTCTCCTGTCCTTTGTGATCCCACCCCTTTGCCCTGTCCCCTTCTCTTGCTCTGCCCTTGAGTGTGGCCTAGCCAGGCGTCAGACAACCTGCTGACAGCAGACACCACAGGCTAGAGCCAGCCCCTGACCCCTGACCCCTGGCCTCATTTGAAGGCTTCTCCTCAATAAAAGGGTCAGCACGGGCTCCGCTCGCTCTCTCTCTCTCTCTCTCTGCAGACCCCTAAGGTCACAGGACCTGTCACAGGACCCAAAGAAAAAGGTGTCTGTCTCTTGTGCGGTCATCTCCTGCCGCCCAGCTCACCTGGAGGGACCCTGAGGGTTTAGTCGTGAGGACGCCACAGGGGCTGCATGGTGGGTGCTGCGAGGCCGCTCCTTTTATGGGGGACCTGCCCTGGAAGCTTCCTGCGGGATCAGCTCTGCCCTGATGTGGCCACTGACCACTGCAGAGCCGGACGTTGCTCTGCTGGGGCCCTCGAGAGTGGACCGCACAGGGCTGCGTGGCTTAGCAGGTGGAGGCCGTGGGGCCCGCTCTCCAGAGCCAAGGGGTGTGGGGCTCAGCGTGGGCCTCCCTGTCCCCCCCACCCCGCAGGACGGCCCCGCCCGTCTGAGGAGCTCTGCAGGACACAGCAGGAGGCGCAGGCCTCTGTCCTCGCCTGGCCCAGGTTGGCCCTGGCTGACAGTGGGCAGTCGTGGCCACTCTCCTGTGGCCTGGGGCTGGCTGCTCACACCAAGCTGGGAACTGAGCCCAGAGGATTTTCCAGGGGCCCCCACCCAGCTGGCAGGTCACCTGTGTCTCGGGTGCTGGGGGATGTGGACAGCCTTTGGACGCGTCCCTGGCGGCCTGAGGAAGGGGCTGCAGCTGCAGGTGCAGGGGCGTCCGGCTGGCCAGGCTGCCTCAGGTCTGACCCTGGCTTCAGACCTTGCGCACAGACCTGCGTACACGTGCCCACGTGTGAGTGCGTGGTGGGGGGCTGGCTGTGATGACACTGGCTGCTTATTTCCATAGATCCCTTCTGCGCTGTGAGGCTTGGGCCAGCAACATGACCTCTCTGTGCTTCATTCTTTGGGGTGCAGAGTTTGAGGTCCTGGTTCCTAAGCTGTGCTTGGCAGGATGCCCTGGGCCAGCTGTGGGCAGGAGGGCAGTGTGGGCCCCTGCAGGTCACCCCACACCCCAAGAAATACTCAGCTTTGTCCTACTGGGCTCCAAGAAGGGCCCTAGGGCTGAGGCCTGTGGCTCTGGGTGGGGCACAGGAAGTGCCCTGTTGGGCTCACTGGGGCAGCATCAGTGGCCTGCCCGGAGCCCTGGCAGATGCTGGGCTGGGTGCCAAACTTCCCGGCTCTGAGGACTGGCCAGGCGTCCCCCAGCCCACAGCCTGGAAGGCCGGCTCCCGAGGCAGTCCCAGCTCCTTCCAGCAGCCGGCTCCGCGACTCCCGAGCAGGGGTGTCCGCAGTGCCACAGCTCGCGGGGCCTCTGGGGCCAAGAAGGGACTCCACCAGGACAGGTGCCCGTCTGGGCCGCCTGGAAGCACAGGCTGCGAGGCTGGGCCCATGGGCACAGCAGGGTCTGCAAAGGGCAGCCAGTGGCCTGGGGCTTTCGGCCTCGGGGTGGACACAGGGGACCCGAGGGGAAGTGACCTGGGGCAGGGGCTGGCAGGTGGCTCCTCAAAGGCTGAGGACGTCCTGAGGTGGACCAGGCCGCGTCCAGCCTGTCCCAGCTGACCCGCGGCCTGGGGTCCTGGGGACCGCCTGTCCTTTTTCCTCCAGGTGAGGAAGCCGAGACGGGCGTGAGCGTGTGGCCCTCAGACTCCCTGACCCGTGCCCCCCATGAAGCCACCTGTGAGCCCCAGGACTGGGGTCCTCACCTGGCCCAGCCACGAGCCAGCTGTGTCCTGGCCGTGTCCCTTGCTGAGCCGCGGGGCCCTGGGAGCTCTGGCAGCACTGTCCCCTCCTCCTGCCAGCCTGCCTGCTGCCCGGCTCCCTCCTGCTCTGCTGGTGGCAGGAGCTCCTGGGACTGAGTCCCTGACGCCCCCAGCTGGCCTGGGAGCTGCGACAGAGCAGCTGGTTCTAGGTTGGGGGGCTAGTCGGGCCAGACCCCCAGGGGTGGATGTGACCTGTGGGATGCGGCTTGTGTGGACTGTTCAGGGGCCCCCATCTCTGTCCCCTGTCACCCTGGGGCTGTCCGAGCCACAGGCCCCTGTTTGAACACACTTTGTGGGGGTAGGACGGAGTGGGCTGGCATTCTGTGAACGCAGACTCCAGCCTTGAACTTGCAATCCTCCTGCCTCAACCTCCAGAGTCACTGGGAGTACAGGTGAGTGCCGCCGAGCCTGGCGAATATCAGATTTTATTCAGTAAACCCAGAGCATTGTTCCGTCCTCAAACCACAGTTGGTCTTCATGAGTAAACAGCCCTTGAGGGATGGTCAGTTCCCAAGAGTCTCAGTGCTCCGAACGCCAGTCCAGCCCCGGGAGCCCGCGGGGCAGGGTGTCACCCCGAGGACGCTGGGGGATGCCAGGTGGCCCAGGCCCAGGTTCACCCCTGGAGCCCAGACCCTGGCAGCTCGTGTGGGAGAGGGGGAAGCCCAGTCACGGGGCCGTGGCTACTCCCGCCCCTGCTGGCCAGGCCCAGGCCACCATCGTCCACAGAGCCTCCGGCTGGCTCCGCCAGAAGTTCTTGAGCAGAGAGCTGCCCTGAGAGCCCTTTGGCTGTTCTAATGAAAGTGGGGGGGCCAGGGATGTGGCTTATGACGGGGAGCTTCCTGTCATGTGCGAGGTCCTGGGTTCCATCCCCATTGGAAGAAAGAGAAGCCTTTCTTCTTGCCAGGTGCAGTGGCCCCTTGCCTGTAATCCTAGCGACTCAGGAGGCCCAGGCAGGAGGATCACGAGTTTGAGGCCAGCCTCAGCAATTTAGGGAGATACTGGGAAACCTGGTGTCTGGCCCACCTTGGGCTGTAACATGGACATCAAGTAGGGTCACAGGCTGAGGCTGCAGCCGGGTCACCACGAGACTTTATTACAGACAGGAACCACGGGACGCCCAGTGCACAGCCCCTGCAGCTCATGCCCCACACTGTGCCCTGCCCACGGGGTGCCTGGCTGGCCTGCAGAGTTCCTGCACAGTCTCCAGCGCATTGAAGGCCATGGGACAAGCTGCCCCTCAGGCCTCTCCCCCCGTCCCCTCAGGCCAGACCCCAGGCCCGGGTTTGCTGAGTCTGCTGCTACCTGGGCCATTCGGACTCGGGGCAACTTGTCTGCAAGCAGATGAGGAAACGGAGGCCCTGGGGGAGCTGGGGAGGTCACCTGGCTCCAGGTTTGGCGTCCTGACTCCTGCGGGGACGGGGATCTGTGGGGGCAGCAGGCCGTGCCCGGGTCCCATCTGCCCACCCTCCTCCCTCTCCTGCCAGGGCCCCGAGTCCCTGGTGGCTGTCCACGTTGACGGCAAATTCCCCGCATCACTGCTGGAGAGAGGACACCGTCTCCCACCAGCCAAGCCACCAGATGCCTGTGTGGGTGAGGGGGGGTGGCGGTCAAGCGAGGGACACCAGGACAATGGGCACCGCCAACGTCACCTTCATCCCCGGGGCAGGAACCCCGTTCCTGGGCAGCTTCAGGGAGCACAGCTGGGGGACTGTCTCCTGGCTATGCTGAGGCCACCAGGTGTAAACCAGGTCCTCCCACCCTCTGCTCTTGGCGAGCCCAGGCCACCAGCCGAGTGGCCTTTGGCCTCATGCTGTGGGATGGAGAGAAGCAGGGGACTGGGCTGAGGCTTGCAGAGGACATGTCCACAGTCGGTGGGAGTCAGCGAGCCACGCCCAGGTCCCCGTGGGAGGCTTGGCTGGAAAGGGGAGGGAGTTTGGCTAGTGACATCCTGGGACATGGGCAGCCCACTGCCAGGCCATCAAATTGGGCCCAGTGGGGCAAGGTCTATGTGCCATGACCGTGGGTCCTGGTGACCTCCGCCCACACCAGACAGTGGGCCTGGTCACTCACCCCTCTGCAGGCCCTACGGTCTCCCAGCGTGCTCCGGTTCCTGTGATCGCTCCTATCTCAGGGGCGGCCATTTGCATGGACATGAGATTGTGGGCTCTTCAAGGCCAGGGCCGTGGCCCAGGACCGCCTGCTCTCTGCCAGCAGGGGACATGGGGATAGCAGGTTGCTGCCCTGACATGCCTCATTGCGACGGGCCTTGTGTCCATTTGCCAGTCCCAGGAAGGCCACCTCCCCTAGTGGTGCCAGCCCTGGCCTGGTGCTCTGGGGAGTGACGGACCCCTGCAGGCTGCCCTCACCTGTTCCTGCTGCCCCTCCCCCTGCTGCCCACCGGGCAGAGCTCCAGCAAGTCTGAGCCGCAGCCAAGCCTGGCACGGGCAGCCGCGCCGCCCGCCACACACATCTGCGACTCCATTAGCACGGCGCTCACGGGGGCTTGTTTGATGACACATCAGAGAGCGCACATGCCTGGGCAGCGCTGGCCCGGCGAGGCTGGCAGCCGAGGTCGGCTCCACTGGGGTCATGGGAGAGCCCCAGGATGGGCTGTGGGCTGGCCCGGCCCTGCCACAGGACGGTGCTGGTGCCCCGGTTCCTGCAGAGGGGAAGCCACCTGCTCTGGCGGCTCCAGCCACGCCCTGGCCACGCTGAGCTGCTTCCTGGCTGCCTCTGCCTCCAGCTGATGCCCAATGGGCAGCACCTGGCCTTGTCCAGGACCGGGGGCTTTGGCCACGCAGACAGACGTGCCGCTGACATTCCTGAAGCCGAGCCAGGCACAGTGAGGCGCTGTCCAGGGCAAGCGGCCAGGCGGGACCCTCAGGCGAGCAGGGAGCAGGCCACGCTCAGGTCACGGGTTCAGGTCCCTCCTGACCGAGGAGGAGGAGGAGGAGGCGCTGGTGGGGCACAGGCTGGCTGCCGGCCGTCCCCAGGACCCCCACTAGATCCCCCAGGCAGGAACTTGGGTGAGCAGCCCTGGGGCTGGTCCTGTGCCAACACGGGGTCCCAGGGCTCGGGCAGGCGGCTGAGGGCTGGAACCCCAGCCCTGGACCTGGAGAGTGCTGCCGGGTGCTGGGGGTCGGCAGGCAGCAGCAGGGCGCGTCAGCTGCCCCCAGCTCCCCGAGCCTGCCTCCAAGGGTCCATGAGACCCTCCAGGCCACGCGACCCTCAGCAGGGCAGGGCCCAAAGGGCGACCTTCCTGAAGAGCTGCAGTCCCGGGCGGGATGGGCCCGGCCGCCAGCCAGGCAGGAGGAAGGCGGGAGGCTGTGAGGGAGGCTGGAGGGAGGCTGGAGGGAGGCTGGGCGGGAGCCAGGTTGGGCCTCCTGTGAGCCTGGTGGAGACCACGGGCACCGCAAGCCCAGGGCCTGGAGGCCTGCCAGGGGCACAGAGTGGGGTCTCAGCTGGCCCCTACCTGGGTCCCTGCAGGCAGCGGTACCCAGCCTGGCCTGGGGCATGGCAGGGCTCAGTTTCTGGGGAAAGGTCGCAGGTGCTGGGAGGGCAGAGGGCCTCGGGCCTGGGCTCAGGACAGCGCCCCCCACTGGTCTGTTGGAAAGGCCGCGGTGCTGGAGCCCCTCGCTCTCTGTCGCCTCATTGCCAGGGGTTCGGGCAAGCAGGGGGGCCGCCTGGGGGCACCGTCCAGAACCAGGGCGCGCAGCGGACCCCACCCACCCTGCTGGGAGGGGCGGACACAGCACAGGAGCCACGGTCTAGGCGGCAGGATTTTGGGTGGAGGAGCTCACCAGGCCCCATCAGCAGAGGCTGCCAAACAGGGAGTGGGCGGGCAGGGAGGGCAAGGAGGTGTGTGTGTCCCCAGTCCCCTGGGAGTTAGGGACGGAGTTGGCCTGGCCCTCCCCTCCTGGAAAGCAGGTCAGCCATGCACAGGTGGGCAGAGAAGGTTCTCAGCAGCAGGCAGGGGTGGACACAGGTGGGGGTAGGGGCAGTGCCACGGAGTGTGGCTGGAGGACACTCAGATTGAACACTGTGCCAGTCTAGTGGTCCTCCCGGACCGGCCGGATCTTCATCTCGGAAAACTTGAGTGAGTACTGCCAGCCGGTCCAGGAGGACCACTCCACGCCGTCGGCATAGGAGGCGTGGGCGCCACGGAGGTACTGCCCATTGAGGTTGGAAGTGTGGCAGTTACGGTACCACCAGGCACCACGGTAGAAGGCAGCACAGTTGTTCTCCGAATGGTCACTGTCACGGTCCTTGGTGGTGAATCTCATGCCGCTGTGCTTCAGGAGGGAGTCACCTGCACAAAAGTTTGCACAAAGGTGTGCACACGGGCCCAGGCGCGCCCAGGCGCCCTGCAGGCATGAGCACAGGCACAGACGCATGGCTCGCTGGCCACGTGTGCTTGTGACCCACATGTACACACACCCTGCACACACACAGGTGTGCATGTTCATGCACTCCAGCCCCTGCACGTGTGCACACATGGGGCCACCAGGGTGTCCCCAGGGGGTCTTCACAGTTCCTCCCAGCTCTGCCACACCCCCTCTCCTCACACCCTGCCCCAGCCCAGAGACGCACGGCCCAGCCCGGGGACGCACAGCCCAGGGATGCGAGGCCCTGGGAGCCCTGACTCCTGGTCTGGGCTCAGTTGCCTGGTCTGCAAAACAGGACTTGGAGGTGCTGACCAGTGGCCTTGACCCCGACCCCAGAGTGCAGAAGGTGTGACCGGCAAGACCTCGTCTCCCCGGCGCTGCGTAGCCTGGAGCCTCACCTGCAGTGCCCGAGTAGTCAGCCACCGTGAGCGGGTACCCGTCCTCCTCGGGGTCCACCGAGAACAAGCCCACCCCGAAGCTCCCATAGCGGGCGTAGGCAGTGCCGTTATCAAAGTCCTCCAGGTCCACGTGCAGCTCATAGACCGCCTGCGTGGTCAAGGCGTGGATCCTCTTGAGCCCTGAGGGAGGAAGAGAATGGTGGGAGAGGGCATGGGCTTGGGACGTGCCTCCCAGAGAGAACTGAGGGGAATCAAGAGCTGAGCTCGTGTTTGGTGAAGAAAAGGCAGCAACCACCAAGTGGGTGCTAAGAGCTCTGGGCTACTTCCTTCTTCCTGTAGGCCTGTGTCTGACAGGAGCCTGGAGACCGATGGTTTTCATGTTTGGTTTTCTCTGCTCGCTTTAAGTTGGGCTATGCCTCCCACTCTAGTGGATGGCTGGAAGAAAAACAGGAACAGTCTGGGGACATTGGCATCCTCCTCCCTCCTCCCCAGGTGGCAGATGGAACTCGCACTCCTCATCTGTCCTCGGAGCCTCTGCACATCCTGCTCCCTCTGCTGAGGACCACTCGAACCACTCCTCACTGGTGACCGCCTGTTCATTTCCAGGTCAGGAAGGCTGTCTGACCTCCTGTCTGGGTTGGCAGTCTCCCTGCAGGGTCCGTCCTTGGGGTCCCAGCTGCCTGTCCTGTGGGCTGCCACGAGAGCAGCAAGTCTGTCCTGGCCACGCTGGCCCCGGCATAGCAGGTGCTCAATAAACGCTGGCTGAGCACGGGAGGCCAAGGTGTTCCCGTCTCCTGCCATCTCCAAGGCCTGGCCTGTGTCTGCCCGGCCCCTGCCCTCCTTCTCCTGCTCCCCTCCTTCCTTCCAGCCCCCAGCCCCTCCTGGGTCTCCTCACTCCTGATTGGCCGACGCCTTCAAGGTGTGCAGTGAGGGATTTGCTCCCCAGTGCCTGGCCCCTCACGCGCTATCCAGGGGATCTGCTGCACAGGGAGGAGAATGAGGCTCAGAGAGGCCTAGTGAGTGGCCCAGGCCACACAGCTTTTGAGGGGCAGAACTGGGATTTGAGCCCAGGCAGAAGGACCAGACCCCTTGCTCTTTTTCAGACCTTGCCCAGGACGAATGCCATGATCCAGGAACAGGGTGGGAGGGAACAGCCCCAGGGGATTCTGGGAGGTTCTCGCTCACCACCCCGTGGTTGCTGGTGCCCAAAGGCCATCCTTAGCCCACCAACGCTTTGGTGAAGTGACACTCATCTCCTGATGTGCCTTCCTGGTGCCCATGAAGGGGTGGGGACGCGGGGGCAGCGCCCCCTGCACCCTTCCTCCAGCACTGGACACCTCCTCCCTCAGCCTCTCTCCACTCGGCCTTCCGGGATCTCTGCCAGAACGGGAGTCGCTCCTCCCCGAGACCCGGGCCCTGGAGGGTGAAGGCAGCCCGGGCATCCTCCCCCAGAGCTCAAGAGGGTGGGGAGGAAACCAGAAACCTGCCCCCAGGTCTCCCGTGGTCACCCAGGGGCATAAAAATTATGAACCTAAAACAAAATTCTAAAAATCATCCCCCCAAAAGTGGCAGAGACGTTTATAAAATGGGGGTGAGGAATCCAGGCCTAACATTCAGAGATATAAACACAAGGACTGTCAGGATTGACGACCTCAAAATCTAAAACTTCTAGGAAGTAAGAATTACCAAGAGGCAAAAGAAGCTGATGGGTGAGCCAGGGGCGGTCCCTCTGTATCATGCATGTCAGACACAGGATCAATGACCTTAATATATAAAGAGCTCCCATAACTCAATAGGAAAAGCACCCAGGAGAAGGTGCCCAGACGGCATGCAGAAGCAGAGGGCGGCCACACCAGGAGGCCGAGGCCGCTGGACTTGGCATTCTTGTCAGGCCCCGGCTCCGCAGAACTAATAAAGGCCCCCCTTTAATGCTTCCTCCCGCACCTTCTGCGGCCGCTGATAGATTTCAATTAAGATGCCGCCGAGCAGCCAGGACACCAACGCAGCTCCCAGGTGGCGGGTGGCCGTGTGGAGACAGGCCCCTCCCTGGACGCCTTCTGCTTCGGCTTTGTACACCCCTTGGATGGAGTGGGCTGGGGCAGGGCCTCCTGGCCAGGGCCTCTCCACCCTGCCCGGCTTTTCATTGGCTCAGTCCAGGGCGAGGTTCAAGGGCAGGGCTGGGGCGCCCGACCCTACACACCCTGTGACAGGTGCCTCCATCTCCCCTTCTGTGGAAGGCAGAAAGGAGTCCCTCCTGGGTGGACGGAGGTTTCAGGAGGACACTCCGCTGGGCGGACAGCAGGCATGCTGTGCAGGGTGGCACCCCCGCCCCCAGTCCCTCTGCCCTGCTCCTCCCCTGGCCTCAGCTCCCAGGCGCGAGGGAACCTGCTCGGCCCCAGAGGACGCCCCAGAGCAACAGCCATGGGAGGGGCTCAGGGGGCAGGCGTCCTGGGGGTGAAGACCCTCCCTGGGCAGAGGAGCCACAGAGCACCGTGGGGGCTGCGCAGGAGTCACGTGGAGCACGGGCCGACCGCCGGACCCAGCACCCAGGCGCGTGATTATTGGTGAGAAAGAAACTCCATAAGGTTCCCCAAAAGTCAGAATACAGAGGGAGTTTAAAGGAGGTGCTGCACCAAGTAACGGCAATAAGATCACCAGAGCCCCCTGCGCACTCCTCACGCCAGGCACGGACGAGGCCAGCCCGCGGCTCTCACGCTCGGCCACCCCAGAAGGTCACGCGGCACTGCAGACCCCGGCGGCAGGCTGTGCCCGGTGTCCCTCGTCCTCCTGGTCCCACCATGACATGGGCTCTGGACCTGTCATGGCTCCAGCAACCAGGACAGTGACCTGGTCCCAGGGTGCCCTCAACAGACCAAGACTCCCTTGTGCCCTGCCCCTGGCCACTCCAACAGCGGGGGGCAGGGATGTGACGCCCTTCCCTCTCTGTTCAGCCCATGAGCCAGCCCACCACTGACCACCCCTCCTCTGGCTCCATTGTCTCAGGCCTCATTCACTCCGTCTAGGTCCCTTGGCCAGGGACACCTGTGAGTGGCCTCAGGCATGCCAAGGCCAGGGGACCTCAGACCCACTTGGGAGGGGCCGGGCCATGCCTGTGCGTGGGGAGAAGGCCCAGCAGGCGGGGGCGGGTCTCACCTAGCCAGTGCTCCCCCGTGAGCTGGCCGAAGCCCTCCCGGTACGCCTCCCAGCCCCGGAAGAAGTTCACGGAGCCGTCCTCCCGGCGCTGGAACACCTGCAAGGCAACCGTGGGTGAGAGC